AATGACGGTATGGAACCTTGTCATCCTTGTCCACCTTCTTCAAATCTTCCCTAAGCTTCCTCTAATATTCGTTCTTCTTGTCTACGTTAAAAAAGAGAGCAATTTCAGGGCAATCACTTTCTTTGGAAGAGACAAGATCCGACACGAAAATGCATACCTTGAATTTGATTGAGCAGACCACTGTCATTGTTGGTATCAGCCAGCCTTGCTAGTGGTGGTAGCGTGTTGCCTTCCTCGTCAAAAACAACTCTAGTTCCCACTGGTCTATGGATATTGATCTTTAACTAAGTATTATGAGTTCAGAGTTCGTCGTGTGACAATGGTAATGCATCCACTATTACTAAAGCTGGACAAGATCTTCTTCGATAACCAAGTCACGTTTAGCTTATAGTTTTTGTTGACTCATTGAAAACTGAAAAAAAAAAAACAAAAATGTTATCATACTGCCCTTTAAGCTAATCATCTGAGTTAAAACAAGTATAAAACATAATATGCATGAAACTTACAAAATATGTTCATTTTTCTTCCTTCTCCGTCTGCGGCATGTGCTATATCATTTGTTAGAAGAGGATCTTTATCCCCTTCCTCGTCACTAGAATAACCAAGATCAAGCTCCTCTTTACGAAGCAGCTCCAATTCATTGTCCTTGTCCAAATGCTCTGGTTCAACAGTGGGAGATAGTTCTGATACTTTCTTGGATGAGGACTTGATTTTGTTGTTTAAAAAGCGGATTCTGGGGGTCGATGCAAGACCTATCGATGCAGAAAACTCATCAATGGGTAGTTTTGTAACGTCGAAATTCTATTTGTCCTTCTTGTCAACAGATTTCAGATACGTTTTAAAGGCACTTTGAGCCAGACCGTGTAGATCTGGGTCTTGGACTATAGAATCTGCCAACTTTCCGGACACTGATTGCACTACGTTCTTGTTAGGCTGAGAAATCAGTGGAACAGCTAATTTAACGTAGGCCACAAATCAATGGCAGGAACAATAGAAAGATGTGGAAAATAGAGAAAAAGTACAATCACTTTACCTTTATTTCCCGTATAGGTATTTTTGCCGCTTGTAATTTCTCAAGCATTTTTTCTTCCGACGGCATCAGAAATAAAAGTGATTTCCCTACCGAGTCATAGCGAGCGGTTCGACCAACTCTGTGTATGTAAGATGCAACATCTCCTGGACAATCCACCTGCACATGCGAAAAAGATGCAACATCACAAATTCCATCAGAGCTTCCTTTTACCTTTCTAGCTTATGGTGAAGACAAAAACTCACCTGAACAACCCAGTCGACTCCCTGGTTGAAGTCAAGGCCTCTTGAAGCCACATCAGTCGAAAAAAGTACTGAAGGTTGTTTACTAAACTCTGAGACCGTTGCCATTCTTTTATGTTGGTCCAAACTTACCATAAAAAGACATCAAGGATATTCCAGAACGAAGCGTTGTAAATGCTTCATATGCAAATTGTACCTATTAATACACCAATTCGACAAAGCTTAGTAAATCATGGATCGGTAGCACGTGAAAAATGTACATGAAGTATTATTCAGCAAATATGCTTTGAGTTTCAAGAAAGTGTACTTTAACGAATCATTAAGAAATGTACAAAAGATGATAAAATTTAGAAAAAAACACAAATTCACATAACACAGGTCGACTTACCTGCTTTCTGGTTGATAGAAACACTAGAACCCTAGATTTTAGATTTTTTTTTTTATGAACCTCCACAACACGTCTAACTTTTGGTGAAGAGAAACAATGACAAATGTTTGCTGCAAATTACTAGGAGTGGCTGTCGCAGACTTCTCATGCACGCTGAAATTCTGGACCCTTCAAACATAGAGCTGCGAGATCCTTAACATCCTTCAGGTGAGTTGCCGAGAAGAGTAAGGTTTGCCTTTGCTTCGGTAGCTGTGAAATGATTGCATTCATCGTCTGCTTAAAACTCGGATCGCTGAGCATACTATCCACCTGGTCAAGGACAAAAACCTGCTCCACAGCCGTGAAAGTCCACCCAAATTAGTAGTAAAATAAATACATACATACGTATACACATATATATAGGAGAAGCTTCATAATAGGGATGCCTTTTCTACTAATCACGGAAGGGGATTGCATGTAAGATTGCATGTGAGCCCAAACATGTAATGCTCTTTGGTAATCCGAACCGTTCAATTTTGAATCATCAAAGTCTTGGATTTTGACGATTTTTTGTAAGGATGATTCTTAAAAGGGTATCTAAAAACTAGATGGTTTTGATTATTGAAACCCACTGTCGGAGTGCCCTGAACAATGGATCCCTCTTAAGAACGGGGTCCTACATAATATATAGAGACAATGGAGAAATACTACTGTCATGGATACCCAAAAAAAGGGGATAACTTGAGTTCCAAGTTAACAGATTTGACGGTTTGAGTTGCAGGAGGTTAACCGAGACCAAGTTTGAGTTCCAAGCTAGTGTGGATGTAATTAAGTCAAAGAATAAAGCAATTTAAGAAACAAGGGGCAACTGCAGATTCAATACAATATTACTGATAGAGATGGTAAAGTCGACCTGAAGCTGTGAATCGTCAAAATTTGGCGTTTCATCCATGTGCTGAAGAAGCCGGCCGGGCGTGTAAACCAATATGTTGCACTCATTTACGAGCTCCTTCTCTGCTTCGGCATCTTTTCCACGGCGACATCTTTTCCTCCTCCTTCTTTCTGGGTTGCAGGGGGTTGGGTTTGTGGTGGGGTGAGGGGGACGAACTGGGTTTGGTTTGAGTTTTTTTTTTTTTTTTTTCCTTCTTCTTTCTGGGCTGCAGGAAGATGGGGAAGAGAGAGAGGAGGGAGGGATGAAAGGAGAGGTTTATTTTTTAAAATTTTTATGTACTTTTTTATTTATTATTTTAATATTTAAATAATATATAATGAATTTTTTTTTGTTTTTAATAATATTTTATTAATTTTTTAATAAAAAATAGGTTCCGGATTAAGCCACGTCAGCATTTAATTGAGAAATAAATGGTCAAGCTAACGAAAGGTATAACATTGACATAAATTCTAAAGATGAGGTATGATATTGTCAATTTTAAAAGATAAGGTATGAAAGTGTCACAATAGTTGAGGTAGTTTTTTGTAGTCTACCCAAGAATAAAGCAATTTAAGAAACAAGAGGCAACTGCAGATTCAATACAATATTACTGATAGAGATGATAAAGTTGACCTGAAGCTATGAACAGTCAAAATTTGGCGTTTCATCCATGTGCTGAAGAAGCCGGCCGGGCGTGTAAACCAATATGTTGCACTCATTTACGAGCTCCTTCTCTGCTTCGACATCTTTTCCACGACGACCTCCAATTAGGAGGGCAGCACTAAAACTATGGTGCCTCCCCACCAGTCTCAACACATCAAATGTTTGACTGGCTATTTCCCTTGTCGGAGAGATTATGATGCTGCCCACCCCATCCTGAGGACACCATCTCTCTCTGTACAAATTTTCCACAATCTGAAAACAAGGCAAAGGCAACTAAGTTCTTACATTGTTTAACCAAAAAAAAAAAAATCCAAAGAGACGACGCCACCCAACAGACTGATTGGAATAACAAAAGCAAGAGTCTTTCCGGAGCCAGTCTTGGCAAACACGCCCTCTGAATATCGCTCATTTGGACGTACTTCTTGGATTGGCGTAAGGTGTCCTTGGTCTTCTTAGAGACATGGGGTTGGAACCGCGTTCGGGTTGCTGGGATTCGATCCACGATTTCAGAAGCTCGACTTCCTAGAGCTCCGAGTGTTTACTTTGCATGCGAGATTTCTTTGATTTGGGTTTTCTCATTGTCGCTTCGTTGGTTGTGTTTCTACTTTGAACTGTGGAAATACGATCAGAGAGTGAGAAACTGACAGATCAAATGTTTGACTAGTTATTTCCCTTGTTGGAGAGATTATGATGTTGCCCACCCCATCCTAAGGACACCATCTCTCTCTATACAATTTTTCCACAATCTGAAAACAAGGCAAAGGCAACTAAGTTCTTACATTGTTTAACAAACAAAAAAAAAACTGAAGAGACGACGCCACCCAACAGACTGACCGGAATAACAAAAGCAAGAGTCTTTCTGGAGCCAGTCTTGGCAGCACCGCGAACATCTCTGCCGCATAAGGCGTGGGGCAAACACACCCTCTGAATATCGCTCATTTGGACGTACTTCTTGGATTGGTGTAAGGCGTTCTTGGGTCTTCTTAGAGATGGGCAGCTGGTCAAACCCGATGACGCCGGCGTAGCGCGAAAATCTTGTGGAGTCGAGGCGGCCAGTGCAGCGTTCGAGGGCAAAGCGGGGAGAGACATGGGGTTGGAACCGCGTTCGGGTTGCTGGGATTCGATCCACGATTTCAGAAGCTCGACTTCCTGGAGCTCCGAGTGTTTACTTTGCATGTGAGATTTCTTTGATTTGGGTTTTCTCATTGTGGCTTCGTCGGTTGTGTTTCTACTTTGAACTGTGGAAATACGATTAGAGAGTCAGAAACTGACATATGCTATCGAGAGAGAGAGAGAGAGAGAGCGCAAGCGAGAGGCAAAGGTCTCCAAGGTAAACTGTGGGGTTTAGAATGAAAACTTTTGAGTTTTAACGATAAATACAAAATAAAAAGTAAAGTGAATAACATCATAATTGATATTTTAGTGTAAAAATATGATTTTTCGTTGAAGTAAACAGTACCGAAAGTTTTTTTGTTGTTAAAGTTCTCTTTATAATACGGTAGGGTTTAGAATGAAAACTTTTGAGTTTTAACGATAAATACAAAATAAAAGGTAAAGTGAATAGCATCATAATTGATATTTTAGTGTAAAAATATGATTTTTCGTTAAAGTAAATAGTAACGAAATTTTTTTATTTTTATTTTTTTTGTTAAAGTTCTCTTTATAATACGGAATAAACTTGTAAATTTGGGCTCCTACCGGGCTATAAGCTTTTAGGCCCATAGGTTTACGGGTTGCTCCATATAAAAGCTGCAATGCAGGGATTATAACCCAAAAGCCAAGACAGCGTCCCCCGTCTCTTGCCTGCGGTGAAGCTTCAAGTCTTCCTGGTCAGTGAGAAACAAAATCCCTAAAAACTATGGGCGTCGAGAAGAGAGAGAGAGATTCGACGGAGGAGGAGCGCGGGAACAGCAGCAGCAGCAGCAGTCGGATGGACACGGGGAGGGCGGAGGCTCCGGTGTGGCTGATGAAGTGCCCGGTGGTCGTAGCCAAGTCGTGGAGCTCCCACAACCCCTCCGATCCCCACCCGATCGCCAAAGTCGTCCTCTCTTTCGATCCCCTCCGTGCTGACGACCCATCTGCCATGGAGGTTTTTGTTGCTTTCTATCAATTCCATCGCTCTTTCGGAGTTATTGATATAAAATTTTGAATTAGGGTTAGAAATTCGAAGGATTTGGGGTTAGTGCAGTGACTAGTAGCTTAGTTGAGGTTGTGACTAGTGATTTTAGAGCAAAACCCTAATTGTTGTTATGCTCTGCCACTGATTGATTGGTTTTCGAATGCTCCATTTGCATTCTGCATTTGGTTGATTATGATTTCTGGTTTTGCAATCAGTTCAAGATGGAGATGCCTGGCTCTGCGGCTGCGAATTTGCCACAAAGTTATTCCTTGAATATGTTTAAAGACTTCGTTCCCATGTGCGTTTTTTCGGAAACAAATCAAGGTGAGGTTTAGGAATTCAATTTGCTGACACTCGTTGTGTTCGTAGATTTCCTTTCGTAAATATCTAATAGAGTTGAGATTCTTCATTTTGTTTACTGCACATTTAAACTAATGATCAACTCCGTTGATTGCAAAAATTTCTTCTCTTTCACGATGTGTTTAGGGTTTAGACGAATAAGAGCTTTATGCAGGGTTTAGACCACTGCACAGAAGAAAAAAATGCCGAAAATTGAGTCTTGGGCTGTAGAAATTGATTGGTTCCAAGACATATGATATAATGCATCTATGTTATAGATAATATGCAGGGCGACCTGCAGAAACTTGTTCCCCAATAAGTATAGCTCTACCGATGGCCAATTTGTTCATCAAGTCATAAGTTATATGTCCTGCTTTTGTTTTCCTGCTCACCATTTTACTACCCTCTCTCTTCGTTGTACACCGTTTAGTTTTGAGGTCGATAAAAATAATCAAAAGCTTTTGCTTTCATTGTAGGCAAAGTTTCTGTGGAAGGTAAAGTGGATCACAAGTTTGATATGAAGCCTCACGGTACTAACATTGAGGAGTATGGGAAGCTGTGTCGTGAAAGGACAAACAAATCCATGATCAAGAACAGACAAATACAGGTGCCATTTTCTTCCATGTGTTTCTGATACAGCAGTTCCGATGGTATATGAATAACAGATTTTGATTGTCTCTCTTTAATTTATTCCAAAGATGATCGACAATGACCGAGGAGTACTTATGAGGCCCATGCCTGGGATGATTGGTTTGGTTTCATCCACCTCAAAGGTATCCGTTGCTTCCTATTCATCCATTTCTACAGACTAATACCAAAACAAGGAATAACCTTTTGAATTATCTATTTCAGGATAAGAAGAAAACGGCACCGGTTAAACAATCAGACATGAAAAGGACTAGAAGAGATCGTGGGGAACTGGAGGACATAGTGTTCAAGTTATTTGAACAAAAACAACCAAACTGGACCTTGAAGCAGCTGGTGCAAGAAACCAATCAACCTGCGGTTAGTATTTTATTCATTTTGTTTATGCTTAAGCTAACTGCTATATTCCATATTTTCAAAAAAATTGGAATTAGTTTCATAAATGCGATAAATAATGCTTCAACTCTGCAATCTTACAATTTTTGGATGTTTCATCTGCAGCAATTCTTGAAAGAGATACTGAATGAGCTCTGCGTTTACAACAAAAGGGGAACGAACCAGGGTACTTACGAGCTCAAGCCAGAATACAAGAAATCTGTTGAGGATACTGAAGAATAAGCTTTACACTCCGCCTAATCGAGCGTTATCCATTGTTCTCTCAAGAACAGGAAGTCGAAATGAATTAGCAAGAAGAATAGCCAGCTGGTTGCGTGGGGCAGCAGAGTAACAACATCAAGAACTTCAACCCACGAAATATCGGAGGCAATAGTCTAATTTTCTTTTTCCAACCTGAAATGTGCAACTATAATGTGTTTGATCTGACGAGAGAGATAAATGCTTCGATAAACCAAACTTCCGAGGCAAGCGTGTATAATTCTGTATCAGCTTGTAAGATAATACTTTCACTACGGTTTTAGCTGAATAGTTTTATTACTTTTGATACTTTGCTGGACAAATGAAACCATATATGCATTGTTTTGTAGAATGCTCTTGGATGCCTTGTTCAGTTGTTCCTGCTGCGGAAGCCCTCCTCTGTCGTAGGTTTTGTTCACTCAAGTTTCGTCTATAGAAACCTATCAATTTTATTTAAAATAAAAAGATTCTTATATCCATATATAAAAGTATTACATAGGGTTAGTGATTTCCTAAGAAAAACAATTATTTTCTCTGGGTAGGAATCCGGTTTGGAAACAAAATAATGTGGTAATCAAGCGACTGTCGAATCTCACTTTTTTGTGCTTATCTATAAATTTCACTTTGTCGTGCTTTTCTAAAACTCCTCAAATACAAGGAAATGGGTATAGAGAACAACGGATTCATAAAAAAAATAAAAGAAGACTATGTTTGGAAGTTTAGTAAATTATTCTGGGTGCCTAAAGAAATATGTGAGAGTAAATTGAGTGTCCAGAAAAACGAAGCTGTTCAAAGAGAAAATTTGGGTGTACACAAAACGACTCTAAACAGGACTACTTAAAGATTGATTATCCAAAGGAAAATTAATGAAAATAACTTGAAAACTTTGAGTTTTAACGATAAGGACAAAATAAAGGGGAAAGTAAATAGTATTAGATTTGACTTTTTAGTGTAAAAATATGGTTTTTCGTTAAAGTGAGGATCGTTGACTTTTTGTTAAAACTCCAACTATCCAATCGATAATGATGTGGGCTATACGTACATGCTAACTGGCCTGCTAAAGGCCCAATCATCCCTATTGCAATTGTTGCGCAGAGACTTGCATTAAAGTGGAGATGCCAAATTGGCAGTGTCTGCCTTATACCCAAACCATGCATTTTTATGTGCTTTAGCTTCTATACCTGGCCTCGCATAATTGGTTTGAGCGAGTTATCTTAACGTCTTTGTTTCATGTAAGTATTCTCTGATCACCTTAACGTCCTTGGTTTGGTCTAATCATATTATCATTGTTAGTACAATGGTGGCTGTGTTGGTTATAAAGCTAAGAAAATATATCTTACATAGTCTTGTGAAAGAAAAAAAAAGTGCAACATCTGCTTTTTGTTTATATTTATTTATTTATTGATATAAAACTAAATTGATCAAGACAGATCGAAGAATTATAGTATGAAATGTAAAACGACTCAATCAAGCAAATGAAAACTCTGCATGTCTTTGACCCCTTTTTGAAAAATTGTATGATGAACTTGTATGAAAATGGTATACGAAACCTAACTAGTTGAAATGTTGAGAGCAGCGGCCGCCACTAGACCAACACGTAGAATATTTTGGATTCAAAATATTATGATGCCAATAGGGTATGGGGATATATATCTATAATTTTCTCCAATACCATCATTGCCCGCACTATTTCTGTGCAAAAATGCATAGTTATATATTATTACTCATGCCAAACAAAATAAATCGTTTGAATCTTGTCACACATGTAGATCCATCACGCATGTTTTCTTAATTAATGTCAAATTGTTTAAAGTTGTTTCATAACCATTTTGTTTTGTTTTGCATTTTTTTTTCTTGAAAACTCACAAAAATATTCAAATTTTGGTTTTCAGCTTAAAAAGTATAAAATAATTACCAAAGTAAGTTCCAGCTTCTCAATTTTTTTTATTAAAATAAATTAATAAATAAGCGAAACAAAAAAAAAAAAATGAAATGTTATCAAACAGATCTATGGTGTGAGGATACAAACCCTAATCAATTATTGAGTTCATTGATTGTGCCGCGATTAAACCAGTGACTACGAGATTCTAACAACTTGGAGTTTCAAGGCAACTGACATCCACTGAGCTCAGTGTGTGAGTTGATGTTTCAATAAAAATGCATGAAGATGCATGATGCCTATCTAAAACAAGGCTGATCACAATCGAGGCCACGAAATATCGGAGGCAATAGTCTAATTTTCTTTTTCCAACCTGAAATGTGCAACTATAATGTGTTTGATCTGACGAGAGAGATAAATGCTTCGATAAACTAAACTTCCGAGGCAAGCATGTATAATTCTGTATCAGCTTGTAAGATAATACTTTCACTGCGGTTTTAGCTGAATAGTTTTATTACTTTTGATACTTTGCTGGACAAATGAAACCATAGATGCATTGTTTTGTAGAATGTGTAAGATGTAACTAGCAACTAATCACCAAGACCAAAACATGAACTACAAACACAAAAGGACTAATCAAATATATGCACATTGCAAAACAGAAAGCGAATCATACCTGCAGCAACACCAGCACTTGAAGCCATCGCAGCAAACCAGTGAACCTTCTCTTCTCTTGCAGAGTATCAAGAGCTCGACTCACAGATAGGTTATGGTCCAGTATGAGCATGGTATCTGTGAGAAGAGAGGCCACTATATATATACATATAGACTATTCCAAGACTGATCAGGATTCCCTATCAAATCCTAATTGGAAAACACCTCTTGTTTTCCGTATGCTAACCAAATCCTTTACTGTAAAGGATCAGCACTCCTCTTGTCAATAGGACTTTTCCATCTCTAATTGAATACCTTCAACTGTTCTCAAAACTTCTTTATCTCATACTCATATTCTTACATTCTCCCACTTGAGTATGAGAAAAGTTTTAAGTACACAGTTTATTCAATCATACTCAGACAGAAGTGTACACTAAGTCCTGTTAACAAAAGTTTTCAATCACAACCAATCTTACATACATTTCAAAATGTAGAACTCTGAAAATCTTCATTACAACCATAATGCAACAAGGTTTTTCACGAGTCACATACATCCAATTTGTATCTGTACTGTTGTGAACTTCAATTAGTTTTATCAGATAAGCAAAATAATTTGCTCCCACTATTTCACATTATTGACAGCAAAATAACCAATTGCTCCAGACAACATGTGAAACAATAGTTCAACAACAACTGCTTATACAGACAAGCTGTTTTTCAAGCATCAAATGAACTATCAAGTTTTTTATTTCAGAAACACAATAGACCATTGTCACAAATCTCACTAGAAAATAAAACTTCTAAAATAAAGCTACCTAAACAAATATTAGCCTTAAGCTTTATTAAAATACATAAAACCTGTTTTCATTGCTGCACCAGCTCTTTGAACTTCACAGCAGCAACTTCGACAGTCAAATACGCAACAAGGGATTACTCCCACTGATCAAATGATTCATGTACCCCCATCCGCGAAACATGAGCTTTAAAAACCCCTATTGGTAACGCCTTGGTCAAGGGATCTGCTATCATCAAATCAGTGCTCAAATGTTCCACTTGTATAGCCCCTTCTCTCACCTTTTCTCGAACTTTAAGAAACTTCACATCCATCAATCTAGAGGCTGAAGTTCTTCTATTATTCTTGGCAAAAAATACTACAGAATTATTATCACAGTGCATTTTAATCGGCCGTTGAACAGAATCTACAATCTTTAAATCTGTTAAGAAGTTCCTTAACCACACGGCCTGTTTCATTCCTTCAAAACAAGCTATGAACTCTGCCTCCATAGTAGAGGTTGCAATTATTGTTTGTTTTGCACTCTTCCAAGAAACTGCACCACCACCAAACATAAACACATAGCTACCTGTGGATTTTCTGTCATCTATATCACCAGCTAAGTCTGAATCGGTATAACCAACTAATTCCAGATTCTCTTCTTTGCCATAAACCAACATGTATCCTTTGGTTCTCTGCAAGTACCTCAGAACCTTCTTTGCAGCTATCCAATGAGACTCTCCTGGATTTGCTTGAAACCTTCCTAACATTCCTACTATGAATGCTATATCTGGTCTTGTGCAGATTGTAGTGTACATCAAACTACCTACTAAGGAGGCATAAGGTTTGTTTTTCATTTTGTCTACCTCAACGGATGTCTTGGGACACTGATCTTTAGAGAATTTATCTCCCTTATTCACAGGTACTTCAGCATTGTTGCATCTTTCCATATTGAATCTTAGCAATACTCTGTCTATGTAACCTTTCTGTGATAGACCAAGTAACCTTTTGGATCTGTCCCTAATGATTTCAATACCAAGTACATAGTGTGCCTTACCAAGATCCTTCATCTCGAAATTTTTGCTCAGTATATCCTTGGTGTCATTAAGTAGCTTAACACTAGAGCTTGCAAGGAGAATGTCATCGACATACAGGATTAAAATGATGAAGTTTGATCCTGACCATTTGATGTAAATACAATCATCCAATTTATTTTCCACGAAGCCAAAACCTGTGACAACCTGATCAAATTTCAAAAACCACTGTCTTGATGCTTGCTTCAGTCCATAAATGGACTTGTTGAGTTTGCAGACCTTGTTCTCTTTCCCCCTTTCAACAAATCCAGGAGGTTGTAGCATGTATATGTTTTCCTGGAGTTCACCATTGAGAAAGGCAGTTTTTACATCCATTTGATGTAGCTCTAGATCGAAATTTGCAACTAATGCCATAATCATCCTCATAGAGTCTTTAGAAGAAACAGGTGAGAATGTGTCATTGTAGTCGACTCCTTCTCTCTGATTGAAACCCTTGGCAACCAATCTTGCCTTGTACCTTTCAACCTTGCCCTGAACATCTCTCTTGGTCTTGTAGACCCATTTGCATCCTATAGCCTTGATTTGGGGGTTAGAATCCACCAATGTCCATACTTTATTCTGTGACATCGATTCTAATTCCTCCTTCATTGCTGTGTTCCATAATGCATGTTGAGGGCTGTTCATAGCTTGAGTGTATGTAAGAGGATCATCTATATCGCCAAAATCAAACTCACTTTCTTGCAAATAAACATAGTCATTTGACATGGTAGTCTTCCTGATTCTTGTTGATTGCCTTAATGAAGCAGATGGTTCATTGATAACTCCAGTGGTTGATCCTTGTTGAATTTCAGAACTAGGATCTGATTCCATTCTGTCTTGAATAGACTGATTCTCATCTAACGGAACTGCAGCTGAGAAAGGTATCAAGATTTCTTTGTAGTTTGTTTCTGAAGGAGCTGCCTCAGTGAGATTTTGTTCTTCAAACATGAAAATTCCTTGTGACAATTCTGCAA